AAGTAAAAATGAATGTCTTTAGTGGAAAATCTAAGAATTATCCTGTTATAACCCAAGACCATTAACCAATGTTACTAATATTAAGAATGATGGTAAAGTTTTCAATTTATGTATGAAAGACCTCTACAATTTGGACATAAGGCAAAAAATTTAAATCATAGTAATTTAAAAACCCATGGCAGCTTTTCAGTCCTTACTGTGCCTGATTAGGACTGAACATTTGACACCTTACGTTCTTCTCTCCTTTTGAAGCACTCTCTTTTTTGTCTCACAGTCTTCTGCGTTGTTTCTCCTTCTCTCTGGCTTCTCCAAGATTCCTCTGTGGGCCACTTTATCTTCTACCTGTGCCTCAACTATTCATGCTCTTTAGATGTTCTCCTCAGCCTTTTCTTACTCCCTGACCTACCTCACTCCTCTGGCTTTACCTGTGACCTGGATACTGATAACTCATGACCTCCAGCCCTTATCTCTCCCTTGCGGTCCGCCCCACATACCCTCCGTTCCCAGACATCTCCACTAGACTCAGTGTCACCTCATCATGACTCAGCCTCACCTTATCTGAATGAATGCATGGCCTTCTCTTGCTTTTTTTCCCTCTACTCTCCAACCCTCCCACACTTGTTGTTCCTGCTGAGTTGTAAGGGGGGATTGCTAGTAGTCTGAGCAGACTTTCAGGAGTCACTCAGAGGTGGGTTTGAATCCCAGTAGCATAATTACTTTGGCCGACCTTGGGCAGGAAAGACACTCTACCTCTTCAAGCCTCCACTCTCTTAGCTATAAAGTAGAAATAATTGTACCCTACAAAGAGTTGTTACAAGAATAAAATCAGAGAATAATGTATCGCCTACCAGAAATAATAATTCTCCTACCCAAAATACTTGAGACCAAAGGTTGTTTAGAGTTTGGATTTTTTTTTTTCAGATTTTGGAACATTTACATATAGATAATGATGTACCTTGGGGTTGCAACCTGGGTATAAGCACAAAATTCATTTATATTTCATATACACCTAATATATATAGCCTCAAGGTAATTTATACAACATGTTTAATGTTTTTGTGCGTGAAACAAACCATTGTGACATGGAATTCTCCACTTGTGTCATGATATTAGTGCTGAAAACATGTTGGATTTGGAAATGTTTCCAATTCTGGATTTTGGATGAGAGGTGTTCAAACTATATTTGTTTTCTCCATGAATGTAGTTCTTTGAGGTAGTCTGACATCAGAACTTGAGCAGTCTTTGAACCTTCAGTTTCTGTTACTGTCAGATACACTCAGTCCTCAAAGTCCTCCTAAAGCCGCTCCTAAAAATGCCTTGGATCTACACACAGCTCTGCTCCCTCCCGCTTTAGCATCACTGTCCTATCCTGTCCCTCTCATCTGTTAACCCAGCTGCCTCCTAATCCAGTCCCTGCCTCCATCCTTCCCAGTCCCAGCCCAGTCTCTGTCCAGCACCAGGGAAACCTTTCCAGTAACTTCCCTTCTTGCCTGAAAGTTACAAGGCAGAGCTCTTCATTTAATCTGTAAAATCCTTTTAAAAATAGTTTCGTTTCCATGCCTACTTCTGGTTTTAGAACTGAAGTGTTAGCAATTGCCATGTATGTTTTGCAAAATCTTCCTATAAGACTAATTCAAGTTTATTATGAATTTGAGAAATTAAGAAACAAAAAAGAAAAAAGCATACCTACAGTCCCACCATTGTCATTGTTTTTCCTCTAATTTTTAATTCATATATTTACACATCCTCAATCAAGTTGAATTTGTATCTTTGTTTGTTGGTATTTTGAAATTTTTTTAATCCAGGTATATTGTGCATGCCTATAATCCCAGAACTTGGGCGTGTCAAGAGTTCAAGGCCAAAAAATAAAATTCAATGAAAGGTAATTCTTAAAGCGTGAATAAATGCATCTTTATTTATAATAGCAGATCCCATTCATGATGTATCTTCACCACTTCTCCCAAATTCTCTCATCTCATTTCCTTTATGCCTGTGTTTATGAGTGGAAATGTTTTATTCCATTTTTAAAATAGCATATTCATTATCTCATAACACTAATATTTTAAAAACCTCAGCTTCATGGTGACATTTCAGTGATGACAGTAGTAGCTCCCATGTGCTGAGTCACCCCTGTGTGTGCAGCACGTGACTACAAACCTGCAGGGTCCCCATATGACTACTGGGGGTCTGAATGACATAAAATGTCAGCTCCAGCCCTGCTCTGCGCCTTCCATGGAGACTGCAACAGACAGCGATGTGAAAGTTGTCTACCAGTCTTCTCTGTTGTTGGGTATTTTTCATTATTACAAATAATGCAGTTGCTGTTTTTGTGTATTAGTCTGTGTCTACGCTTCAAATGTTTTCCTAATGAAGGTCACCAGGAGTGAATATTTTAAAAGTTTTGATACACAATGCCAATTGCCTTCCTGAAAGGTTAAACCAATTTACGAGGAGTGATTAATTCTAATGGGATGGAAAGGAGAGGAAGGGAATGACATTTCATGGAGGAGGTGACATTTGAGCTGGGTCTTGCAGGATGAGCAGCAGGAAGGTAGAGTGGGCAGGACATGGCAGTGGGAAGTCAGCGAGAAGCGGCTGACAGCACTGCAGCGGGGGTCTCCTTGCTTGTTGCCACCTAAAAGCCCATCACTGACTTACTGCACAATTGGCAGGAAGAGTGTCAGCATGAAGCCAGGGAGAGTTAAAATTCTAATAGGTGATGCTGCCCTTTCATAAATGTAGAAATGAAAGCTTTTTTGAAGTTCTATGACATTTATAGTAGTCATTTGTTTGTTTGTTTGTTTGTTCATTTCCTCGAACTGAGAAACCTTCTGAGGATTCAGTATAACTAGGAAACTCAGCAAACCTCTCCAGTCCTAACGTGTGCAGGATTCATCATCTCCCACCCTCTCGTTCATCCCCCGGAGGAAAAGGCTCCCAACTTGCATTTAGTATGATATACATCTATTTGGATAAATGAGACCAAAACCTATTTTTAAGCCTGGGATAAGTTCCAGACACTCAGGAGTCAAATTCCATAGCAGGTAGATGCGTAAGTAGCCAGATGTCAGCCTTTATCTGAGCACTGCATGTTCTGAGTGCCCTCTTTCCGGACTGAAGCAAGTGCTCAAAGCCAAAGGGAGAGAGGAGAAAGGGTATAGGAAGCTGACAGAGCCCCAGGGCTTCCACACACCATACCTCATTAATCCTCTCATGGCAGCTTGAAATGCAGTACAGCCAGTCAGGCATTTCACATCATATTTTGAAGAAGGCAACCTATAAATTGTAAATTAAGTCAATAAAATATATCTGGAGCTCTCAAAGTACCTCAGGATAGGGCCGGAGATTTAGCTTCGTGGTTCGACCACCTGCCTTGCAGGCGCAAGGTCCTGAGTTCAATCCCCAGTACCCACCCCCCAAAACAAGTACCTCAGGATAAGTAGAATTTTCCTTTTGCACCTGATGTATATGCTGCTACTATGAAGAGTGGGTCTAGCAGGCATTCATGAAGTTCATAAAGTATGAATTTTGCCACCTTAATGGCTAACTATGAAATAAAATGGAGAGAATTAGAGAAACATGAATTACAGGTTGTTTTCACATAAATTGTGTTCTTTGGCTTTTAAGAATGTGTAATAATGAGAATAGATGAGGTGGTCAAATAGATGGTTTGTTAAACAGGGTTTAAGGGATAGCTAAGAAATCTTTACCATTAGCATTAATACACAGATATATTAGAACGGCTTTAGTCATCGGCCAACAGAATTGTTCTAGCTGGGCTCCGTCTCCAGTCCTGCACAAGTCTCCTCTGAAGGGAGCTAATAAGAAGTACATTGCTCCTCAGTAGCAATGAAGCCTTAAATGTATCAAAAAATGTCCTCTGTATTGACAGATCATAGGATACTCTATTCATAGGTATACTTATTATATATGTATATTTATGGGGCTTTATGTACAATTTGTATGGTTTTTATGTTTCAGATTTTTTAAAGTACTTTCTTCCTAAGGTTCATCTTGCAAGCTATTTTGTTGTTTAGGTTATTTTGGAACCCTGATTTTTGTTCCAGCTTTCCTAATCTTTCCCCAAGACCTAACAAAGGGCTGTATTTATGTAAGCTTGGAAGGCTTTGTTCTAAATGCTGTTTGTTTATGCTATTTCTATGAGAGGAAGGTTGGAGCTGGATATATAGAAAATATGCACACATGCCCTGGGCCAGGTGCACACCCTCTTCTGGGCACCTCCACACCTGAGGGCCCCATTGGAAAGGGAAGTTCATCATATCCGTAGTAACTGACTCCCCAAGAACTTCCAGCTGGGAATAATGGTGCACATCCATAATCCAGCACTCTGGGAGGTAAAAGGTGGCCAGTTCAAGCCCACCCTGCACAACTTAGTGATTTAGTGAGATCCTGTCTCAAAATAAAAAGTTCAGGAGGCTGGGGACATAGCCCAGTCTAGAGACCCTTGGTTCAATCCTCAGTACTTAAAAAAAAAAAAAATGGTTGCAAGTGGGAGCCTGTGAGAAAACCATTTGTTTCCATTAAATACTCAAAGCAATTGATCAGGAAATGCATTTGGCATTAGATCACATTGCTACTAAGATTGCCATGATAAATGAATTTTTATTCTATTGATGAAGGTGATTTCTATTCATTGTATACTCAAAAGTTTTTTTCTGGACAAAGCACTTGTGTAATTTGGTGTTCTTCTATAAAAATTTCCCTTACTCCCTAGACCTTAGCTGTCTTCTTTCTTGTTATGCTGAAGTTCTTATCACTTAACTCTACCTGTTGCACTACTCCTTCATCACACAGCCTTTTCCCTTGAAGCTCTTTGATGACAGGCCCTGCCTCCCAGCAGGCATGTAACATGCAAGGTGAGTCTCTGGTTGTGCCACATAGAGTTGTAGAGTGATGAGTATCATAATCAACATGGGGGAACTCCATCTTCATGCCACGCCAAACTCACAAGCATTGGAAATATGTATCCTCTTCTTCAGGTTTATCAGCTACGTGGCATCCCCAAGCTTCTGCAGCTGCTCAAAGTTCAGAATGAAGCCATGCAGCAAGCTGTGTGTGGGGCCTTGAGAAACTTGGTGTTTGAAGATAATGACAACAAGTTGGAGGTCGCGGAACTAAATGGGGTGCCCCGACTGCTGCAGGTGCTGAAGCAGACCAGAGACCTGGAGACTAAAAAGCAGATCACAGGTACTACTTACCAAATATTAAAGGACAGAGCACAGGCAGCCCAGCCAGGTGTGTTAGCTCATATGTTTTTCTTAAATTTCCAGGAATGGATGCTTGATGGGCTCATTGTTATACAAAGGATTTGTGGCGGGGGGTGGGGGTGGGGGTCGTTGGTACCAGGGATTGAACTCAGGACCTTCCACTTGCAAGACAGGCAGCGGAACCACTGAGATAAATCCTCGGCCCCAAAGGATGGTTTTAAAGGAACCTTGTCACCTGCTGACTTACAGCCCAGAGTCAAGCAACGTCTGAATTCATTTTTCTGAAGAGGAAGATATTCTGACACTTTTGCTTAAATTTTTAAATTAAAAACCCTTTTGACTACATTTTTTTAAAACTTCTTGATAAGTGTCACTATATAAAAATTCTGCGCGCATTCACTAACAGCCACGTTTGTAGTTTGAGAAGTGTGAGCTTTTATGTTGTCCTGGTGTCCAAAACATTGTGAAGAAAACCGAGAAGAACTACACCCAGTTATTTTCATTATTGATTCAACAACCATTTTGGTGGACTTGTACTAGGATGGAGAAACGGAGAGTCAAATAATTTTCCAACATAGAGGGTGAATGTAATCATTACTCAAAGTATAAGAAACTATTTGCTCCATCTTCAATGCTACCTTTCTAGCCCGTCTGTCCTTTAATACCCCCAAAAAAGAAAAAGAAAAGGGTGGCTGAATAGTTGTAGTTCTGTGCTTTGTATTTCTGTTTACATGTGGTTTGGACCATTCGGTATCTCCTCTCTGCCCAGTGGATTAGAAAGTTGAGCTGTTTGGATAGGGTGAAAGCAATGACTTTGGTAGTATCTCCTTGAACCATGAAGATGGGGACTTGTTGCATTTAAACGAATTGTGCATCTGGTAGAAGACAAGATGGTTCTTGGCTGTCCCAAGCACAAGCCACCCTCCCTGCTGTCCCCGTCAGTGCTCTGCTCACAGCCCCCACACACGGCACAAACTGCAGGAAGCACTGCTGAGCGACTGCATCAGTGGTGTCACCTTGGGAACTGATAATTATCTTCAGTAACTCAAGTGATACATAAGCATTTTAAAATTTAGTTATCACTAATACTTTAGGGTTTAAGATATTATTGGCTATTAAATCTCAGTTTTACAGTCAGGAAAACTTAAACCCAAAGAAGTTAATGCTTTTTTTTTCTTTTTTAATTAGTGCATGTTTGCAGTGTATTTTACAGTCATCTTAGGGAATGGGTACGCGTGCATTATACAACTTACTTCCTTTGCTTTAAATCCCCTCCTCCTTCCCTCCCCCCTCCTCCTCTAATTCCCTTTTCCCCATTTTCATCTTTATTAATATTACCAAGCTTAGCTCATGTTTACGGTGTATAATGTTTAATTCATTGAGGTTATTAGGTTCCTGCACATGCCACATCTTTATTCTGCTTATTTCTCCATCCTCTCTCCCTCACTCCTCACCCCTTGCCTTTAGTACCTTGGACCAATTCCCATTTGCAAGAAATCCATCCTCTTGCCTCTGATCTCTTTGTACTTAGCCTTACCACCACATGATATTTAAGCCGGTGTGTCCTGTTTATTTCACTCACTCAACATTATATTTACATCAAATAAAAGTTTTTTTAAAAAATAATGACAGTTCTGATAAATGCTCTAAAAAAAGACACTATACATTGCTTCAAGTTGAATATATTTTGCACTTTTGACTTCATACTGTTACACAAATCTTTATTTTTTTCTATAAAATTTTGTCATATCTTACTTAGAATTCATACTTTTTTCTACTTTGATATAATTTTCTGTGTGGGGATTGAACCCAGGGCCTCATACCTGCTAACCATGTGCCCTACCACTGAGCTACATGTCCAGCCCCTCTGTTCATGCACTTTAATTGTATATAGTGATACGAAGGGTTGCACCATTCTACCCTTCTTCCAGTGTCCAGTTTGTCTCATGAGTGATTTCCTTTCATATCCATTATGTGAAAACTTCGGTAGAAACTAAGAGTGATCTCATCCATTGAGCTAACATTTACAGAGCAGCTCTCAAGTATCAGGCACTGAGACTCACAGCCCGAGGAGGCTGTCAATTTTGTTTTTCCATCTACTAGAGATGAAAGATCATGTGTTGGCTGGCTGGCCCACACAAAAGACCGAACCTCACATTTAGAGCCCAACATTTTCCTCGTTAAAATGTAATAGTGAACCACAAGACAGCCTGAAACAGATGATTCTGATATTTGACAGTCAGAAAAGGTTCCATGAAGGAAGGCTGTCTCATCATAGGATATAGCTCAGTGGTAGCACTAGTGGGTTCCATTCCCAGCAGCACCAGGAAAAAAAAGATAGGACAGTTCTTAGATTGATGTTTTGAAAGAGCCCGAAAGTTATTCCTGACAAAGTGAACACTACTAGAACGCAAAGAGGTAGAAAGAAGCTGCTGGTCATGTAGAAGAAACCTGGAAAATATAAAGATCGGAGTTAGTGCACAGAAACTTAGAAAGGTTAGAGGGTAGAGCATGCTTCCTCTTCCACACAGACAGTAGGAAACTAAAGTCAGAACAGTCTGTGAAACTGGTGCCATAGAAACCACCTGGGGAATCATTAGATAATCTATAGAGCTGATAAATGAAGTTGATTGTGCAGTACCGAGATCTCTAGTATAAGCCAAATTCCCTACTGATGGGTTCTCATTATGTGTTCATTGAACTGAAATGATACTTGGACATTTGATACAAATCCTTCTAAATTACTCCCTTTAGCTCTGAAAATAGAAGAGCTAAATAAATGCTTTCTGGTTCTCAAGAATAATTGTAGATATAATAAGAACACCTTTCTGTCTTTGTTTAGCAACACAAAGCAAGCAATACTATATGTGTATCCTTTTTTTTTATCAGTCTATTTCTTAGACTTTTTATTGGCCCTGTACTATAATCACTAAGCTAGGGCTATTTTCATGTGTTTCTCCTAACAACCATATATGCAGTGGGGGTATAAATGATGATTTAAGATATGATCGGTGTGAGGCTCAGAAATGTAAAGTAAATTGTGCGAGGTCACACAAACAAACAAAGTAGTAGGGAGGGAGGCACAGTTATGAAGCCAGTTTCATCTGTGAATTTTGCTGTGTCCATGATCTCACCTCCTTCGTTTGATACCCATGGTGACCCATTTTTGTACGTCTTCAGGAAGTGGTTAGCTTTGAGACTCTTGGATCAGAGAGCTCTATCCGCCACCTCTTTGACCCTTCTTCTGTTTCTCCTGCCTCTGTCTTATCTTGCCCAGTCTCTCTGACTCAGTGTAGCACCTCGCCAATCTATCATCTGCTCTGCTTCTAGAGATTTCTTTCCCAAATGAAAACACTGTCCCTTTATTCTCCTTACTTCCTGTAAGATAAAGTCCATACTCTGACATCTCACACAAAAGTTTTATGGTGCGAATCTGATGACTGTCATCAGCAGGGTCTCCTCTTAGGCTCTTCCAGCCCAGGTTCTGAAGTTCCGAAGGTCACGCTGGCCTGTCCCCTTGCTGTCTTCTCTCATGGTGTCATCCTCTCTGCTATTGTCTTGCACTCACACCTCCTGGAGAAACCTCTCACTCTTCAATAGTGGATGCAGATTCACTTTTGTGAAACATTTCAAGCACCATCCTTCCATTACTTATCCCCATCAGTAGAGTTTTGAAGGAAGAGGCTTCTCTATAAGGTGACCTTTACACCCTTTGACGCTAGGTCACCATATGCATGGTGCCTGTACACTGAATTGTGTAAACGTTAGTTTCCCAACAACAGTGGATGGCTGGTACTCCTGGGAAGATTGACAAAACATAGCTAACTAGTAAAGAGATCTTATGATATTAAAACCTGTATTTTATTAATATTGCCCTCTAGGACAGGAAATACAGTTATTTAAATCAGCTGTAACTCTTAGGTATCAAAACTCGCAAAGTTTTATATTAAATTATTTCCTGTTTTCATTGAAGTATGAGGAGAAAGAGGGGGAAATGACAATAGTGAGAGAACTGGTCCTTTATAATCTTGCTTTTTAGAGTATTCCCAAGTGCAAGAAGAATTGTTGCCCAAGACTATGTGATTCTAATTTGTCCTTGGGTTCATTTGGAAACTGCTAGTCTTACACTAATTTCAGAATAAATCTTCATCAACATTTTGGTGAGAAATTAACTTATTTCTATCCTCCCCAGTGATAGAGCTGGATCTTCCATGTAGGTCTTTGTTTTCTTGAAAAGGAGCCACAATCGCCTTCCTTAGAACTCTCATTCTTCTGTTCCGGTTGTGCCTCCCACAGTCACAGAAAATGATATCTAGCTGTTTACATTTGCCCTTTTTCCGTTATTAAAAATCATACAATCCTATTTTATTAGCCCTGATATCTTTGGGCTTTGTGTTGCTCCCTATTTTTTACTGGTATTTTAGTTTTTAATGATTTATAATAATATTCTATGTGAAGGATGTTAACCCTTTGTCTCATAATGTTGTACATAGTATCCCAGTTGGTAGTTGGTTATGTTGATGAAGGAGGGTGGTATGTATAAGTATATAGAAAACCCCTAAATCTCTACTAAACATTTTAGCTTCATGCCGCCTAGATATTTGGGGGCCATGACATTTCTATACAATTTCCTACATTAAAAATTGAAAAATTATACCAAACCTTTCCAAACCATGTGTGTCTATAGAAATAATACACTTCACCAGACTGTAAAGGATATTGAGTGTTGCAGGAAAATTCCATTCCCTTTGTTCAAATTAATCCTCTCTGGCTTTTATCATGAGGTGTGTTTTTCTTTGAGTGCCCTGTGTGGTCCTTTTAAAAAGAGGAAATGTCATTATGCTTCACATTTTGAAGCCTCTAGCGGGCCGAGACTTAATTTGTTTGCTTATTTAGAACTCAGGAAGCTCTTTTTTTTCTTCTTCTCTTTTCTTTCTAACTTTTTTTGTAGCTTAGTAACCAAACCTCAACTTTAGATTT